ATTTCCACGTATAAAAGAAAGGTAATTTCGGAAAAGGCAATTCAGATTGCACAGCTGTTAACAGGAAAGGAGACAAGAGGATTTCCTTCAGCTCATCAATATGATGAGTTGATTCATTGTCAGCATCCAGGCAAGCATTCTACATGGTGTTAAGTTTGGATACCACCCTGATCCCCTTCAAAACTATTAAAAAAAATAATTAAGGACTGAATGTATTATCTGGTTTACTTAGAAGTGAACAAAAAGATAGTACAGTTCCTGGGGTGGATGTAAAGTCTGTGTCCTCAGTTGAGCCTTAAAATGGGAGTCGGTCTTGAATACTCCGTGAGGCATTACAGAAAGAGGAAGTTGGGGATTGTCACCGGGCCAGGTGAGGACAACCATCTTATGCAGACAAGTTAAGCAGGTGCTATGTACTGGATGCAGGTGGCTTGTCTCCTTCGTCACTAGGTGCTGGAAAAAGAAAGAAAAAAAAACGAATTAAAGAGTGTAGCGTGACATCCAAAACGTTGGCACATCTTAGAACTAAATAATATGTGGACATAAAATATACATCTTTTTATTCACAAATAATCAAAACGTGCTGCTCTACAACCAATACTATATTAATATGTGTAAATCAGAATAAACTTGCAATCTGTGTAATATGATAATAAAGTGACTGTGCAATAAATAATCTCAAATATCAGCAATGAATCAAGTAATATGAAATACAATAACAATCCTTAGAAAATATATAAATAGTTCAAAGTGCTTCAGTCCCAGCGTATGTAGGGTCGAGCTGGGAAGCACAGCGCACGGCCAGTGGCATACAGAGTATTGAGGAGTGTGTTTTTGGCTTTGATGCGATTCTTTTTAATCTATATGCGTGTAGAAATTTTTTAAATGAAGCACTTTTTTTATTTAAATGATCTGAACTATGGATCACTTTTTGTATTTATAACATGTATCCACGAGTTTGTAAAGAGGAAAAGTGAGAAACAATAGAAGAAGCAACATCCCGGAGAAACAATAAGGAAACGAGATCAGGTGATTTCCCATCTGCAGGAGGGCAGGCTACATTCCCTTGCCTGGGTTTCAAAAGAGGTGACAAGCGTGTCTAGACCTGTGTATAGGTCTATGAGATATACCCAAGGATACTGAAGTGGAGGTACCTGCTACTGCTTACACCGGGGAATTTGTACATCGCATAAGTGTTGTTTTGACTGCTTGAGAAAAAACATTGCTTAAGGGAAAGATAGAAGAACTATATAATATGCTATAACATAGGGCACAGAATTTGTACATCGCTGAAGTACTGGATTGATTAAGAAAAAAAAAAAAACAACAAACCAATAACTATCGCTTAAGGGAAAGATAAAAGAACTGTACATTACACCTTAAAAGGTGGCCATACTTCGATTTGCTGCGCATATTTGAGACAATATTTATTGCACAGTCCCTTTATCATTATTACAAGTGTATTATGATTTATACATATTAATATAGGAGGGGTTGTTGCGGAGCTCATTTTTATTGCTTTTTGCATACAACTGTTACTCAGATTTCGTGCTCACAGCGGTCGTAGAGTGTTGAGCGTGAAACTTTTTTCAATTGTCTTTTTATTCACAGTTTTTGTTACCGAAGAGACATTTTTAGTAAAAATAAGTTAACAAGCATAATTCAGAGTGAAAAGAAAACCGCTTAACATGCAACTTATTTTTGCTATGAAATCATAAGGCAGTAAAGGAATCTATGCCTAAAAACCTGATCATCAGGCTGGTTAGCTTGAACAAAATAGTAACAGGCACTTTAAAAGATGAAATTGCCCCAAAAGGGGTATTTGGGTTCACTATTTTATGAGTGCTTTAATTGGCATGAGAAGTAACTCATACAATAAAGTTTGGGTACATCTAGATGCAAGGTCTCTTGTAACAAAGATTTGGGCTCCCGCATACCTGGTCTCAATTTCGGGGCAAGGCTAAATTAAAAGATATTTAAAGACCAACCTTTTTTTTTTTTGGATACAGTAAGGAATGGTTATAACCTCTGTCAGGTTTTTATCGTTGTTTTGGGTCCTCTCTGGGGCGATTCACACTCTATTTGTCCTGGTGACCATTGTTACCTGGACTGAAAGTGAAAAAAAGATCTAAAATTTGGAGCTGTCATCATGACAGGAAAAGAGGCAATCTTTCAGAGGGGACAAGGTTCAAGTGTCTAAGAGGGTTTTATGTTCTGTGTAGAGATCTCCACTCACTTCCTGTTTTGGTTAAAGCAAAGTGAAATTTTCACAATAGGTAACTACACTAGGTCTTATTTTCAGGGGATGTCTTTTTTTTTTTTTTTGGTATGGTAAGTATGAGAATAATACTGTTGCTCTTTCTTTTCCTACCGGTTCAGTATCGGTAAAGCTGATCCCTTTCTTTCACAGGCGGAGTGCATCAGGTATCACTCCACCTGTGACAGGAGCTGGCGCTATAGAGGAAGTATCGGCTAATGTGGCTCTGCTCTCTCCGCCACTGCAGCCTTGCTTTCTACAGCGACGGCTTCCTTTGCCATCAGGGACAGTGGTACCAGCGGTGCAGCAGTGCGGACATCAGCCAGTGGACAGTGCAGTAAAGTACAGTACCATTTACCGGTACACATTACAGTACATTACCATTACATTAAGCAGTGCCTTCAGGGGGACAGCAGTTGCTGCAGTATGGTACTGTAGTGCTCCCTGTCACTGCACTGGCCGGAGGGAGTCCCCTGTCATCCCCTTAATACAGTATGTCCCTACAGGCTGATACCATCTCTCCTGCTCTTCAAGTTCCCCCTCACATGCCACCACCCAACTAGGTCTTATTTTCGGGGTAGGTCTTATATTACAGGAATCTTGAAAAATAGTACTAGGTCTTACTTTCGGGGAAACGGTACCGTACGTCCCCGCCACTAAGTACCCAAATGACTGATCACGTACACTGTACGAATCTACCGCAATTGCTGTCACCGTTTGACAGCTGGTACAGATCGGATTTTTTCTAAATGTGTCAGAATAGAAAGTTACAGGTTTCTATTCTGAAAGAGTGTTGCAGGCTTCTGATCGTTCTGGGAACGATCAGAAGCCCTTACTGACACTGATCCTAATATGCTGTCAGTATTAGTGTCACTAAAGTATTACTGGCTGTTCCTAAGTTTGGAGCAGTCTAAAAATAACCAAACATTAAATCACGCAGTCATTGTGAGATCAATTCACAATGACTGCTTGATATAACTAAAAACAATAGTGTAAAAAAAAAAAAAAAAAAAATTATATCTAAAAATATATGGTGTGTGTGGGTGCACTTCTTAAGAAAGTATATTACTGCCGTGGAAAAATCACACAGCAAAAATGTAAAATGTGCATTAGTCGTTAACGAACAGAAACTTAAAACAAGCTCAATCATGAAGGGGTTAAATGTACATAGTTAACATCAAAAGCATCGGTGCAAACACTGATGTTTTCAGATACTTTGCTAACCTGTATTATCAATGTGTAAATGCTAGTGTCAGGCAGCATGTGTAGTTCTCAGGCAAAAACTGCCTAAATCAGGTGTTGGCTAATCCTGCCACTGTGTTTAACAACTTGATTTGCTGGCTGCAGCTCTAGCCTAGTCAGCTGTGGTCTAATGAAGCTGGCTACATGTCTTCAGCTCTGTGATTGGCCTGGTCTCAGGCAGCGCCTTATTTAAATCTCAAAATGCCCAGGCCTCTGACTGATAGTTCAGTCTGCATGAGCCTGTATTCAGTCTCTGAATACATTGTCTTTAGAATATTCTCTGCCTGTCCTGACCTCAGCCTGTCCCTGGAAGATTCTCTGCCACCAGTCCTGACCTCCCCCTGCCCTTGGTTAACACTCTAGTGGTGTCCTTCATCACCACTGCACACCAGAGCATATAGTTCAAGTAACGGGGGGCGTCAGAGTACTGATAAGCACATGTGACTTAATGGAAAGGTGGCTGCTATAGGTGAAGTCACGCATCACAATTTACTCTGTTTGAGTGCCAACATCGCTTCCTGACGGCTAGCCCTCCACATGTTTGAGGCTTCTAAACTTTTGAGCGCCAAAAACCCCAGCCATACAGGTTCCCAAATCACCTTTTCTCAGGGCCCTGCGTAAAATAATCAAAACAAGCAAGTCAGACACTACAGTTTGACTGTAAGCAAAGTGAATGTGACATGAGTTACTTCGACATGCCAAAGCTGTAGCTATGTGCAAAAGACGCTTTGCCTTAAAAAGGGAATTCTGCTGGGAACGGATAGTAAACTTTAAAAAGGAGAACTATGAGGTGAGTGAATAAAACTGTCACACGTCAGCTTGATTGATCGGGAAATGAGCCAACACATACCATCGCTTGCTCACTTTCCAATCATCATCTCCCTGCAGAGAGCAGTGTCAGTCACCAAAACCCGCAGGGCTTGTGCCGCCCCCCCCCCCCCCCTTCCGACTGGAGGAACAGACAGGGGAAGAGGTGGGCAGAGCCCACTGTCAATCAGCTAGCTGGGTAGATCTCGGCAGTATTGTCAGGATCAATCCCGGCACTCTCAGTATATAGCGAGCTGTAGCTCGCTATATACTGAGTTTTGGGTCACCGGAGGTGGTTAGTATATGTCCTCCCTTGACCCTTAAGGGCTTGTTCACACCAAGCACGGAGTAGATCCAGAGCAGAGCAGGTGCAGACCGGATCAAAACTGCGTCCAATGTATTCCTATAGTATTTTGAGCTCCCGTTCACATCGCAGCGTGCAGATCCAGAGCAGGTGAAAAAACTGCGGCAAGCCCTATTTTACCTGCCCTGGAACGCATCAAAATGCAAAAACGCATCAAACGCATGCAAGTGCCTGAAAGCTCATGTTGAACTTAAATATATATTTTTTTTTTACAAAAAACGGCCCGGAACGCATCAAAAAAGCGTCACAATCCACTGCACTGCGTGTGCAGAAACCTGACCGGATCTGCTCTGCATTTCGTGTGAACAAGGCCTAAGAGAACTATGGCATAAAAAGTTTACCCCATAGTTCTCTTTTAAGAGCCCTAATGGAACTGGCCTCGGGACCAAACTGATTTTCCATAAAGCTTCTCAACCAGAGTCCAGATCCAAGAATCTTTAATAAATATGGTAGCCACAGATCACATATTTCTGAAAATTTTAAATGGTTAAAAACTGGAACTTGCCAGGAAACATACAGAATCATTTCATACCAGTTTATTATACACTCAATTTTGCTCTGGCTTCTCCAGCGCAGGTATATTTACCAACGGTGGTTGTGACAGAAGGCGTAAGGACGTCATCATCATCACTGTCTTCCTCATTGCACTGGGCCACGTCCCTAATTGGTTCAGGACACTTTGTCTCTGACTCCTGCTCCACACGACTCCTCAGAGCAAGAATGCGGTGGTGAATAGCAGCAAAAAGCTGCCCTGTGTCTTTAGAGCTTGCCTTTAAAGAGAAAAGAAGCATGCTCCCCATCAGCTGAAGTAGGAAATTAATGCTGCAGAATATGAAAATTAGTTCAATACTCACAGATATCAGAAAAACTTTAACACCCTGGTCTTCTGTGTCCATTGCAGTTATCCGGATGCTCTTCTCACTAGCTTTGTCTATCTGCATCTGGGCCCATAGCTTAGTGTTGAGAATTAATCGCAGACTGCCTTGAGTGCGCATCACTGAGCAGGAAATGTCGCATATAAAAAAAATTAAAAAACACGGTTCCCAGGCTACTGCCACAAATATACAATACACCAAAAAAACTCACCCAGCCTAGACTGCAACGCGCCATCTTCTGCGGAGGCCATATCATTCAGTCTTAGAAGTCCCCGTCCCCTCTCTACCCAAGACTGGGAGACTTTATCAAACACGAACAGTTTGCACTGGATCTGTTATCACAATAATAAGAAAGGAAAAGTATTAAAAGCCACAAATGTTACATGATGATCATTTCCCATGACCCACCACTGCAAACAGCAGGACCGAATCCAATGCTTCCTGCCCCTTTAGCAAAAGAGGATAAAGGGTAAAAACAAACACATTATACATGTCGTCGGAACAGAACTGCTTGCAGCAGCATTACATTCGCTGCATTCTCTAAGCCTGTAAGCCCATTGTCACTTCTGGATGCAGCAGTAAGTGTGCTACCTCCATGCATAAAAAAGCCTGTTGCTTTGTTTATATGTATACAGAATCTGCTATGAGCGCTCGTGTATGTGTAAACAAAGCCACCGGCTAACACTGGCAGATAGGGACTTTGTTTACCCCATCCCCCTACCTGCTGACAGTTTCTGAGCCAGCCACTTCTCCAATCCTGCCCACACAACTTGTCCAGCCTACTTGTAGTCGTTAAAATGCCCTGATACATAGCACAAATACTGATGTTTTAAATAGATTCGGCTGCCTGCGGTCCCACGCTTGCTACACATCTCCTCCTCCCCGAGACCAGCGGAGCACTGGACACCCCACACCCGCCCGTACAGCCCTGGAGAGCCCTATAGGCAGCCCTGGTGAATGCCGGCAGAAACACTGCCGCACTTCTGAGTGACCATCGCAGCCCTTCTGGAGCCTGCAATACCCTCCTGAGAGCCGGTAAATAAACTTTTGTACTGCGGCTGCCTATTTTTCTGCTCCATGGCTGCAACTAATTCTCCCGCAGAAGAATTTTGTAAGGCCGAAACCAAAAATGACTTTATCCTATTATTTTTTTTAATAATAATTGTATTGCAAGCAAATAGCGCTTGAATAGCTTCAGCCAGAGAACGACAGCTTCCAGTGGCAAGAAGTGGAAGACAGCAGCTTAATGTAAATACAGCAGGTAGTGGGCTGGTGCAATAGCCAGTCTGCTATTGGTCATTTCAAATTGCAATCGCAGGCTGACTATTGCACCCGCCCACTGCTAGCATGGAGGCGAGAGCTAGGGGATCCAACCAACTAATTGATGAGAATAGTTGACAACTATTCTCATTATCTAATTAATCGATTAGCTAACTTTGGAGTTCAGAGTGGACCAGGAGGTCCCTGTGGACAAGGGGGAGGCCTCTGCCCCACCCAATGGAACGGAAATCTACTACACTGATGATGATCCTAGAACAATAGGTGTCCCAGGTTTCAGATTACAGACGTTGGATCCATCTTGGTATACCAGGTAAACACCCCCAGAACCACTAGGGGAGCATAGGCTGAGGTCATATGCTGAGCATATTTATTCATTATGGTAAGAGCTCCGAGGGAATATAAAATCGGATGCGATTTAGTTCAGCCTAAATGCACACCAAACAATCCATGCAGGAAGGTCATAAAGAAGGAAAGCAAATAACTGTGCAGAATGCTTCTGTCCTCTTACTTGTAGTACATTACTCTCTGCTTCTTCTCCTGTGATCACTTCCACTTTCTCCAGTAAACACCGTTTGGCTGTGGCCTTTGTGTAAGCAGCTGCTGATTCCGCTAACGATTCAGAGATGTTATTGGCTACAAAACATTTAAAAGCACAATAATATGAGAAATACTAAAAATGTTATATATCCCAGAAACAAAATGCACACATACACACATTAGCTTACTCTTGTCTGGAGTATTTTCCAACGAAGACCCTTCTGATCCAGACTCCAAACCAGTATTTTCCTTATTGCTATCAGAACTTGCCTCTACTCTCGGTGGACTCTAAAACAGAAAATTGACCTGAGGGTTAAAAAGTGAAAGAAAAACAAAAAATACGCTACAAATTGTAGACTGTAGGTTAGAAAGAGAGAAAAAAAAATATAAGCATGGTTACTGCATGTACAAATGAAAGAATTTACAGCCGACATATGCTCCTTTATAATACAGGAAACATGACTCCACAGGAGCTAGTAGCTTTTAAAGGGTACTGCAGTTATTTGCGAAGCCAACATGTTTTTAATGACAGAAGAGACCATCTACCATAAACGCTTCTTCAGTGTCTACTAGAAGGGAATTCTTCTTTAAGCACCTGTGTGCATGAGCAGAAGTTAGGTTACCCCTGACCAACCATTCAAGATGGCAGACCCCAGACTCGGTAGAAGATAGATTTAAGTTTTGTTTTAAGAAACATCCCTGTTATGGAAATTGGAATATGTTTAGGCAGGAATTGCTTCTTTAACCACCTGCTGTCCATTGGCCGCTCCTGAACGGCCGGACGAGAGCCTTATAGAAGCGGGAGGGCATCTTAAGACATCCTTCCCCTCCCCTGCTCGTGCGCGGCGCCCACACGAGTGGGGAAACTGTCGGAAATGTCAACCGGCAGCGATTGCCGTTTACATTCAAGCTATCGGGGGTCTCTAGAGACCCCCGATCGCTTGTAGAAGGTGCGGGTGTGCGGTGCCACACTTATCAACAGTGCTTTTTACCATGCGGAAGCTACCAATGCAACAACTGCTCATCGGAGTTTAGTTTAACACAGCCCACCTAAGAAAAAATGATGCTTTCCTGTGTAGCCAAGATAAACCTGTGCAGCGTGGTTTAAGAAACCCACTGAAAAACCAACAGGTTTCCAAGGCTATGCCAAAGAAAGCTTACCATCTTAGAGCTGGTAGTCTTGGGGATGTAAGGCAGTTAAAAGAAACTGATAAGAATATTTTTCAAGCAGGGGACCCCTACTGACCAGAAGCAAGGAAGTGGAAACATGTAGTCTGGTTATCATCAAAAAAGGCAAGCCTGTAACAACTAGCATTTGAATCCGCAATACAATGTTGTAGGATCCACATGTGTATCACAAAGGATACTCACCAGAACTCTTTCAATCATGTTTTGTCCAAATACAAACTTGTTGCTTGCTGCTTCTGCTTTGTGTGCTGAATTCTCTAAGCTACAAAAAGACACAAACTGGGTAAAATTAGATGAAGCATAGCAAACTTGGAGGAAGTAGTCATTTCTGTTCAATGAAACCAGGCCAAAAGGTACAACTGTATGGGCGTTTACAAAAAGACTTTTATTATTTGATTACACTTTCAGTTCTTATTGAAGAAAAGCTAAAAGATTATAATTTGAAATCATTTTGAAATGTATGACTTGGAGCACTATGGCATAAAAAACAAAAAAACAACACACCTTCTGAAAGCCGTGTTGCCTCTACTGGCTTTAATCATTTGAAAGCACTTAGGTCTTAGGAATGTGCCTTCAGAAAACAATTTTCCAAGCCCATTTTTCGTGCACTTGGTTTTTAAATCAATGAATATACAATCACCAAGGGCCCCCTCCCCACAATGAAACAAATACTGTAGTGTTTCAGAAAACTGCAGCATTACTGCTCTATTGCATGACTGTACCTTAAAAAGCGTTCAGGAGAATCTCACCTGGAGCTAATGTACTGTAGGAAGTAGTTAGTCTGCGCTGGAGCATCAGCACTCTGTGGACCAGACTTCTCCCCATCAAGTGAATTGCTATTTTCTGCTCCAAGCTACGCAAAGGAAGAGATGTTTTAGTAGGCAGATGGTATATTATACCATAGCGCATCATGATTAATTTTCCTGTAATAATCAGTTTATATTAATGCTGTTAAAAAAAAAAAGGAGAAAGACGGTTATAAGAACACTCCTTTAATTAGAAATCAATTGAGTAACTTACCTTTACTCTGTCTCTAAGATTCTGACCAAAAACAAATGACTGCTGCGAACTTTGCTCCCCTCGCTCTACGCCCTCTGTGGTGAACATGCTAGCAGAAGTTTCTGGCTGAGCCTCATTGGCCTAACGTTAAGAGTTATTTCAATTAATGAATGTATCACTCTGTAAATTCACAAGACAGCAACTCTTTATGAATAACATTCACATTAAATTTCTGCTCCAAAGATCCAACCATAGTAGTTGCAGCCAGCAACCTTTCTAAATGATTGCTGGAAGAACTGTCTGGCATACATTACTGCCCTACCAACCAATATTAGAAGAATTAGGTTCTAATAAGAAGAAGTGGACGTTATGGGAAATGGAATGAAAGGCAACCACAAAGAGCGAGAACATGGGGGGGGGGGGGGGGGGGGGGGCAGAAAAAACGCGGGGGGGGGGAGTGGGGTTCAGAGAACGAGTCTTGGAGGAAGCAGAGAAAAAGCAGAAATAAAAAATAAAATAAAAAAGGTCAGATGAATTAATTAAGAAGCAGGAGAGTTATAGACAGGTGGCATAAGGGAGCGGGATCATGGACCAGGAAGAAGAGGGAGATGGCTAAACAGAAGCTGATCATGGAATGGGGATACAGGAGCCTGTGCTGACCCTGGAAATATACAGCTAAAGCTGATCATGTCCTGTAGGGCAGACAGAATCATTATTGCAGCTAAGGAGAACAGAGCAGCAGCGGATTGTGGCGAAGGAACTGGGCATGGGAAAGGCAATTTAGGATTTACACTTATATTTGTTACACAGTCAAAAGAGAATCCACAGCAAAGCATATGCTTATTGCTACATGTTGCAATGGTGAATTTAGAAATCAGCCATTAAAAACACATTTTTAGGTCATGTTCAGACTATGGTTCATCTCTCCTGAGGGAGAAAACAGTTTATACCCTTTTTGCTTACAACTGAAGTGGCTGCCTATCTGTTGTCATCAGCCAAGACACAACTATAGAAAGAGATAGGGCTTAGTAAAAATTAGATTCCTAAATATTTAGAAAATACATGTACTTACTGGCATCAAATGAGGCTGTAATATCCCCTTGACAGAACTTTAGGAATGAATAGCCAGAAGACCAAATTGGCAGCCTTGCAAATCCGAGAAAATTGTTTTTTTTACATCAAGAAGCACTCGCAGACCGAGTAGAGTGTGCAGTGATAAATGGTGGAACCTAATCATTGAGACCGTAAGGATGGATGAAATGGCAGTGCACCATTACAGGGTTCATCCAAAATTATAAAAAGGGAAACAGTCTTCCTGAAAGAAGTAGTGCCAGGGAGATAGACCCACACAGCCTGCCACATAGCCTGTACCACATCGAAACAACGGAAATAAATTTCCATTTGGTGAACTGGAGCCAGACAGAGGGGTGGAAGAACAATGTCCTAGTTGAGGTGAAAGGCAGAAACTACTACTACTACTGAATGCTGAGCCTGGTGTGAACCCAGTTTGCCTGAGTTCACCCAAGTCTGCTTAAAACTGTGATGGCAACAGGACTCCTACAGGGGTCCAACAGGCTGGCATCCATCATGAGGATTTTGCAAGAGATGAAAAGGAAGGACTTTGTCCAGGGACACGAATGATTTCTCCAAGGACGACAGGATGTGTTGTAGAAATCCAAGATGGGGCTGATGCCCCCTGTAAATTTGCGAACTGTGAACAGGTTGAAGTAAAAGCCCTTGTGGATCAAATGGTACCGGGCCGCCCAAGGAACGTGTGCGACTTTCCATGGACGAGAGGTTTAAGGTCGTGACAAACTGCAGGCGAAGCAGCGCGGCGCACAGGCGAGCGCCGACTCGCGGTCCTTCGCCTGCAGTGTGTCTAGTGAGTTCCGATCCCCCGCTCTGCCCGGCGAGAGCGTGCGTAGCGCAGCGCCGTGAAATGAAAAAGTTAATCTCCAGCCAATCACAGCGCGCGATGCAATGAAGGCATCACAAAGCGGCAACACGCGACCAGCCAATCAGATCACTCAGTTCTGAGTGATCAGTATCTGCCTGTGTCTGTATTTGCCTGTTTGCAAATGTGTCTTGTCAGTCCAGAGAAGTGTCTGTGGTATGTTCATACAGCCTAGTGCTATCCTATCCAGCACTCAGGCACTTTTAGCAAAAAATAAAGACATTTATCTACATTGAATTATAAAATGAAATATATTATATATTACATGATATGCTTAATTATTTATTTTATTAATATTAATTAATAATAATTTAAAAATGTATTATTAATTAATTATTCATTTGATTATTAATAAAATAAATACAGATACATATTTAATGTTATATATATATATATATATATATTATATTGCCGCCCACACAGTGCTGGTGACATTCATTTTTTGGTGTAACCCTATTTTATTTTGAAGGCATATTTAAAAACAATTAAAATTATTAAATCAAAACAATCTAAAATATAAACAATCAATCAATCGATTGTCTAGGCACATGTACTCAGCACTGCTCTTAGGAGTATGCAGTGGACATAAAGTGGTTGCTAACCTAATCTGTTTATTATTCTATTGGAACTCCTGTATGGTTATATGATGCTGTTCCTGCATGCAAGATTTCTGATCCTACACAGTATTTTGTACAGAAGCTTGTATGTATAGTGCTGTGCCTTTTTGTACCATTGCTCTTTCTTGTATAGTACTGTGCTTTTATATGACAATGTGTTATCTTGTACTGTACTATCCTTTATCATGCCATTGTTCTGTATTGTATTGATTTCAGTCAATAAAAGTACTGCGGGGCTGAATACTGAAAAATGGCCTGGCCAGGAAGGGGGTGTAAACACCTGGTCTTCAAGTGGTTAAACATAGACATCTTCCACAGCAACAGTAAACACAAAGAAAAAAAAAAAAAAACAACAACAACAAAAAACAGTAAAGTGAGAAACCGCAGGGCCCAGGTGATGGCCCACTTTTGTACATAATCCTCACTATATGGTAAGCAAGGCCAATAGGTGCTTGGGGAAGGCACACAGCTTGTCGGAATGTTCCCAGTCCCCGTAGCAAGAGTGTTGAAAAAGTAGGTGCAATGGTTAAGTCTTGCAGCCTTAAGTGCTTTAAAAAAGGACCTAAAACTGCCAACAGCACCAGTAGAAGCAACAGATGTATCCTCTAGTTGTAGAGTGGTGTGCACCGCTTTGATAAGAGCCAAGATTGTCTTTTTGTTTTACCTAGGAGTGATAGCAGCAGGCTGCGACTCCTCAGGGGAAAGCTCATTACTAAAAGTCTGTGGCAAAAAAAAGGTGCTAGAAAAAAAAAAAAGCTAACAGAAAATACATCTATTCTCCTAAGACACAAGCTAAAAATGCTCACAGTGAGTTTTTGTTTTGTTTGCCAGGGTCCTATCCTCCAATAGGCGGCAGTAAAACCTAAAGGTTAAGGACTTCCTGGGTCCCTCAGTGTATGAGAAAAAAAAAAAGAGCCAGGAGTAGAGATAGAAAATGTGTGCAATGGCAATGTGGACAATGTTGAAAGTTAGAATGTCTCTGTTAAGAGAAAACAAAACAGTGATCCAACCTTAAATGTCAGAAGGCCAAAGATGTTTGAAGTAACCAAAAAGTTTTACTGGCCACCTTCAAGCTACCAACTTCCTGAAAGTTAGTACACTTCTGCCTGTGTCTCTCCAAATAATGCAGCAAAGTTAATTTACCCATTATGAGTAAGGGTTACCGTCACATGGAAAACATCCACAACTGTATCCTATGTTCCAACTTATAGAAAGCTGGAGTTTACAAAAAGGTTGCGTTTAGCTCTTCAGGGGAGCCATAGAAAGCGGACCAATAAAATCTATTGCCACAGGTACCTTTTGGTATCTACTCTATGCATGACCTGGTTTAACCACTTCCACTTCCCATCCGCGTCTTTAGACGTCCTCCATGCTCGCACGCGCCCCCGGCACGCACGAGCGGGAACCCGCCAGGATTTTAAGCGGCCAGCGATGGCCGTTTACATACAAGCGGTCCGGCATCTGTAAAAACACCCGATCGCTTGTATGTCCATCCGTCCCAGGCGATGTGGCTCTGTTCACTGAGAACGGAAGGAGATCTCCCTCCGCTCTCCTCCTGATCTTTGAATGCAGAAGTGATGTATATTACATCACTTCCGCATTCCTGTCACTCTCCGGTACAGAAACCGGAGAGAAGCTGATGAAGCAGATCTGTGCTTCATCAGCTTCTCTGGGGGTCCCTAGGTGACATTAGAGGTCTTACAGACCCTTGATGTCTCCATAAAGGGGACCTGTAACTGTAATTTGTTATCACATAGGAGCACCCTATGTGATAACAATAAAGTTAAGTGTAAAAAACACTCACAAAACCAAATTTACACACACAAAACAAAAAACACAACATTTTTAAAAAGTCCCCCACCCACACATAAGATGCGCAAAAATGCGTTACATGCGCCTACACGAAAAAACTGTGATTGCTCCAATTATGCGGCACGTGTCACATATCGCCACGAACGTCGAGATTAGAGCAATAATTCTAGGGCTATCAATCACTGATAACACTAAACTGATGAGCGGTAAAATCTTGTAAAGCGTTGCCTATGGCAAATTCTGGCTATGGTGTTTTTTGCGATTTCGCACAATTTTAAGGCTTGACATGTTTCGTGTCTATTTACCCGACGTGACCCCGCCTTTTATATTTTACCAAAAAATTGTGTAAAAATAATTGTTTTCTAAAATAATAAAAGGGAAAACCATTTTTCTTTTAAATATTCGGTACTTTTTTTGTTATATATATAAAAATAAAAAAATAAAACCCCCAGTGGTGATTAAATACCACCAAAAGAAAGCTCCATCTGTCCGCAAAAAAATGGTATAAAATTAATTTCAGTACAGCGTTGCATGACGGAATAAATGTCAATCAAGGTACCGCAGCGCTGAATACTGAAAAATGGCCTGGCCAGGAAGGGGGTGTAAACACCCCGGTCAGCAAGTGGTTAAAATGTGCCTACAGACAAGGAATGCCAGTTAAAAGAAGCCTTATGAGATGCATTATTAGGATGGTAAAAAAAAATGCTCCTCATATTGGTGTCAGTTTGTCAAAGTAATTTTGTATTAGGCAAATTGTATACATTGGCAGCCACCAACCTTGCTACTGTATGGGTAGTTTCATATTTACATTAAACCTATCAAATTATTTATTGTACATTGTTATATTGTGAAATCATCATGACATAAGCACATGCACACAAAAATAAAGACCACTTACTTTATCAGAGGTAAGTGTTGGGGCAGCTGCACTTAAAATGGGTTTATTCGAGGATGACGCACATGGCTCAGAGGACACACTGATGCCATTTGTCCCACTGTTGAAAACTGTAGAACATAAAGAAAATCTGTGAGCGTTTCAATTCATCCAAGGAGAAGTAGACATAATAAAATATTTATACTAACATTGTGGTGAGAAAGCTTTAGGCTGTGGGGCCTGCAACACTGCTGGACGTAGCACACTGCGTTGCTGTTCCTTAGGTTTCTGGCTGGGGAGTCCTAAAATGTGCAAGACAAAATATTGCAATGACACTAGATATAGTGGTAATCAATTTACCTGTTAAATACACCAAGTATTCGAGTTCACTTGAAGTCACAGAAATAGGATATTTAGACAGATACGCCCGTTCATTTTTATAGTCTTACCTCCACTTTCCTATTATAGCAGTTATACAGTGTGTCTCAATATGACTGAAGATATATTTATATAGTTATTCAGGATTGTCAAGAAAAAATAAAAGGGTGCACAACTTTAATTGGACTTTAAACAGTACATTAAAAAGCAACTGTAAAAAAAAAAAAAGTCTTAAAATTAGCTTATGAATAGGGACACAACACAACAGAAATGAAGACAAAATACAAACTGAACACAATAAGGCATATGGTGTCATGCATTTGAAAAAGCCAAGTAATAAATACCTGCACTGGGAGCTTGCCCATGGATTAACGTAGGCGGTTTTAGCCTGAACCCACTGGATTTTTCCTCTAAAAAGATATGTTGTTACTTAGTTATCAGTATGATCTCATTTAGTTTTAGAGTTCTAAATATTTTTTTTAAGATGGCTGTAGATATTACGATAGGTTCAACGTGTAAATCGGAGTCTGAGTTACCAGTGGATGGCTGACAGAAGCTGGATGGCATGAATACATTGTTCTTTGTTACTGTGGATAACACAGATTTTAGATATTGTTATAACCTCTTGACTTTAGTGTAAATATAAGCTGCCAATTGGTAGCATTTTACGCAAATAGCAATTGATGTACATATGCTCAGCTTTATTAACAATTTGTAAACACAGTGTGTAGATTTGTATACAACTTGAACTCCAGGCAAAACTTTTATCAACCCTTACAAAAAGAGGCTACCTCCGCACTGCAAGGGTTAACAGCTTGTTTTTGTCTAATTTACAACCTTAGATTCTCCATGCAGCTTGTTTTTAGACGGTCCTTCCAGCCTCTCTCTGCTTTTCTGCAGTGGTCTATGGCCCCCTAAATCATCAGGTCTATACATAGTGTATAGACGTGAGGACGCTGAGGAAGATTCCAATGCTGCAGTGGAGAAGGAGACAGACTGGAGGTAGCGATGCGACTACCTTGGAGCTTCAGCTAAGTATAACGGTTATTCTTGACCCTAGACACAAATGAGCACATAACCCTTGCAGTGTGGGGGTAGCTTCACTGCAAGGGTTAATCAAAAGTACACAATATCAGGTTTGAAGGTGCACATGAATTGGCAGAGACTCCCATTAACTTTACTGAATTATTACCAGGGTTATCATTTGGTTTGAAAACTTTACTCACACATGGTATTCCTTGAAGGTGGAGATAATCAGATAAGAACACAAAATTTCTACGCTGCTCTTCCTCGCTAGTGCAAACGGATATATTTTATAGCAGCTGGCATTATCAGCTACGTTTAGAGCTAGGTTGCCCAATATAGATAGTACTGTGCAAAAGTTTTAGGCAGGTGTGAAAAAATGCTATAAAGTAAGAATGCTTTCAGAAATAAAAGTGTTAATAGTTTATTTTTTTTATCAGTTAACAAAATGTAAAGTAAATGAACAGAAGAGAAATCCAAATAAAATCAATATTTGGTATGACCACCCTTTGCTTAGAGCATTTCTCTGCCTCCAAAACACAGCGAGTCGAGTTAATGCCAAAGAGCTCAATTTTGGTCTCATCTGACTGCAGCACACTGAGGGGTCAGGTCCATGTTAGGACACCTTTGTATGTACAAACAGCCCTTCACTTGTAAAAGTGTTGGCACACCTTTATGCAAAAGGATTATCAGAGGTATTAGCCGACATCTGACTTTGAGCCCTGTAGGCTTAGTGAATTTTAGGTTCTTTCTGGGGATACCAGGTAAATGCCCCCAGAACCAGTTAGTTACCCATGGCAACAAGGCTGTCCTCTGTGTCTTTAGAAAGACATGTTGCATCTGTGTAGCAGTAATGCAACTTGGCCCAATATAGTGCAAGGCCTCAAGTACTTACAAGCCCAGTTAGCTGGAGGTGCCCATCTCCCTATAGACAGGAGGTGGAATTAAAAGGGAAATTGTATCCACTTGGTGCTTTAGGAGCAGGAGTGAGAGAGAGAGTGGGATGACCCTTCCTCTAGGCTGAATGGCAGTAAAGAGTAGAGAATGCACAGCATTTCAGCTAGTGGATGTGAGCACTTGATACCTCACCCTTAACACGGAGAAAAGACGTCCAACCTCCTAGGACACCAGCAAAAGACTGACATGCTACGCATAGGAGCTATTATACAGGGGCTGGTTTACAATCTTTCTGTTTGCCAAAGTCCCAACATCCTGGCCCAACTGTTTATGTATTTCTGTGTCCATCAATAGGCAAAAAATAAATACTGCAGGAAACAAAATTTCTGGGCCATTTCAACAGTATTCTGCATTTACACGTTCACCAATCCACCAAAAGAAACCTCTACCTTTCTAAAAAAAAAAAACCACAACAAACACACCCAATGTGAATCCTTTTCTGGTTCATGAGGCCATTGAAGAAAAAAAAAAAAACAAGGTAAACTAAATGCAAAACTCACTTGCAAGAAGAATCCTCTGAAAAAAATCAGGAAGAAGCAGGTAAGAATACCGAGGAAAATTCTTAGCTCCTTACTCCTGACGCTAGGCAAAAAACTGGAGACTTCTCAGTAGGTGGGGGGTTTGGCCACCGGCAGGGGCCGCCCCTAGGCTGTAATTGGTCTTTAGTTTTTTTGTGCCTAGCGTCCTTCTCCTGCAGGTGGCGATATTACCCTACAGTACATGATCTCCGATCTGTTCCCTGTGTCCTTCAATGAACGGGAGAGAAATATGCTCTTCACAAAAGGTATAACCTTTAATGTGACTGACACTTCACTTTGGTCAAAGCTCCTGCTCTTCCCCGTATCATCAAAGGTTACCCTCTTCACATATTATTAGCCAGTAAGCTGCCTATCATAGTGATGGGTCATTCAAAATCTTTGTGAGCCAGGAGGGAGCAGGCAAGCTCTGCAACTACTAGGAAGTTTTAAAGATTTGCCCAATCAGAATGGCCTTCACGTACTCAAAGTTGCATGTACAGGCAAATCTCTGTGCCTGCACTTTTCATTTATCAGCATTTTTCGACAGTCACTTTAAAGCGGGCAATACATAGTCCAATATAGGCTTATCACCCATTGTAAGGATTTGGGTTTGTGTTGACCAAATTCAAATGGAGTAAATGTCATTAAGCAACAACTTTGGCTGTATCTGTAAGAATATATACAATACCAAAATATTATTAGGAACACGACTTGCTATACGCAGATCTTTCATCCACTGCATAATGTACTTTAATCAATACAGCCATAATGCTGCACAAATACATTAACCTCTTGAGTCCCCAAGTCTTTTTCTCCCTTAACCCCAAGATTTTTTTTCCAGTCTCAGCGATGTCTAGGTTCCGCACATTATACTTTTTTTTACCTAAGGTTTGTAGTCTAACCCAACGTATTATACAACCTGTTTTTTTACAAGGATAGATAGGGTGTTGATTTGGATACTTTTTTTTTATTTTGTTTTTATTGGGAATAGTAAAAGAAACTAGATCTAAAAATGCATTTTCCTGTCATTTTTCCCAACACAACATTTACATAATTTGCATACACCATATAGCTACCCCAAAACATAATCAAAGTCCACTGATTAAAATGATATCACAGTGAAATTCTTATGTAATGTAGCTGAATGATAAAGCTCAAAGTAAACACGTTTTAAAATTAGAAGAGCTTTAATCCCCTTTCAAAAAAAAAAACGGTTTGTGTAAATTTCAGAGTAATATTAAGATAGGGAACTTTTTCACAGGTTTGCAATCGCTAAAAATTCGAATGACACTGAGTGAAGATTTAATGCTTCCACAATATAAACAAATGTCATCCAGATAATCCAATGTCATTGTTGCAAGCTATGGTTTAATCTGGGAAATAAATTAAAATAAAAAAATCATCAAAAGAATAAATGTAGTATTACAAGTTTTTTTTCATAGTGTGTCTGGATGTGGCCAGTTGAGACCTGATCCAGAACCCCATGAAACTGTGCCGCAGCAGATCACTTCTGAAAAGCTGCTGTCCCAGCACTGTTTTAAAATGGCACTGGGGACTCAAGTGGTTAATGAAAGTCACCAGAAGTTTATTTACTCACTTTTAAGTGATAAAACACTGTTGGGGCCACATGTTCATTCTACTACTGATGCACAACTGAGAGCTGACTGTTCTTCACACATCGAGAGTCAGATGAAATCTGCACTAGAAAAAGGCTCCCTCCCAAATGAGTCTCTGCCGGACTCTGACGGCTTAGACCTGATGGCCCACTTCAGTTCGACAATGGCTGGTCTGAAGAAAGCGGTGCCAATCTCTTCAAGAAATACAGTGAGAAAAAGGTTTTGGTGCGACTACTACTCAGTGCAGCATTATGGTTGCATAAGCTTTTGTGGTAATTATAAATACTCAAAAGAAAATTAAAATTGACCAAAAACTTGTTTGTTTTTTAAGTTCATAAATGGATCTATTTTTATAACAGTTTCATTACAAATATTAAATACATATATTTGTTTGCAGAACATGTAGGCCATCCTAAGAAAGCCTAGCAATGTCTTATCACTTGCTGACTGACTAACTACAAGACTTGGTAGGGGCAGTATCCCTTTTTTTTTAGCTCCGTGTATGCTGTGAACAGACCTAAAGCGAAAGAGGTCAAATTATACAAGCTATTCATGTTATTCACAGCAAAGCAGTAAATCACTGCATCTGTAAATGTCAATTATGAAATATTTGTATGCGATATTTCAAAATGATCTTACTTTCATAAGAAAAAACATTTTTTTACGCAAGTAAAACTTTTTTTTATATAAAGTATTGACACAGCAATAGGAAGCATGAGCCCAGGAACTGACTCTAGAAAGCAAAGTGGTATTTGCATATTCCCAGGCTTTAGGGGGTCTAGAAGGCATGTATAGGAACCTTCAGCTGCTTGCTTCTCATACTATTGTGGCTGTAGCCTATATATATATTATATGAAAATCAATGTTAGGGTCTGCTTTAAAGTGTGTATAAACCCATAATCCATTCTTCAGTATGTTTGGCATATATAACTCACTCTCACTATATAAAGTGCTCTTAAGCAAAAAATGTTTGCAAAACTGCTGCCAAGTCTCTTACCTAGAGATCCTGCCAGTAACACCACTTCCTGTTGCAGGCTGCCAATGCTAAGCTGCTGCCTCACAATTTGAAGCAGCACTGTCAGCTTCACCTTCATTTGGTCATAGAGCTTCCAATCAGATCTACAATAGGGGGTGCATAAGTAGCCCAAAGACCAACTGCAGGCTGACCATACTTTTGCTTATTACAAAGTAGTGGCTTAGAATTGTCAGTCTGCATCAGGAGGTGCCATTACTGGCAGGACCTCCAGTAACAATGCAGCATATTAACAAAAAAATTTACTTATAGTGAGGCATGATGCCAAACTAATTTTTCATAATATTTTAGGTTCACAAACACTACCGTCACAACTGCAACAACCTATAAAATTTCACATATCACAATGACAATTTAACTGAAGAAAAGAAAAAAAGAAGAAAGGAAGAGTGTACCGAAAGACAATTTTTCCCTATGGACAATCACGTTTTCTGAAAAAGGTTTTATAGTCACACGACTGATAACGTTTCCCCCCACTTTTTGATTGACCGGTAAAAAAAATGTACCTGACTGAGAAGGGGGAAACTGTGAAAAGGATGATGTCCGTTCTCTTTTCGGTGGAGGGCAATAACTTCCATCCTCTTTATCAGAATCTAAGCAGAGAAAGCAGTGATAGGATTTAATTCTCTTATGTACTATAATTAGTAGCAATGACAAGATTTCAAGCAAGAAGCTATTTTGTCTTACCATCACCTTGCTCTGGACTGGATCCATCTGCAGACCTCTACAATGGGAAGAGTAGAGAGACTATTAGAGCAAATAGTTATATATTTTACTCAACTGCATTGCTGCACAAAAGTCTTATGCATTTTAAATAATAGAAGACAAAAAAAATTGTCCGATTTATTTTTCATTTGGCTAAAGCTGGGCATACACGGTCTGAAAGTAAGAAATTGACACGATTCCTCCATCAACACAAACAGCGTGTCGATCGAGGAATTGCCACTGTTTGCATTGTATTCCGACAGGTGACACCGACACCTGCCAGAATACCCAATCAGAGTCGGCAGCTCATTGGCTGCCGGCTCTGACCGCACAGAGATTTTCCATCCAGCTCCTTGGATCAGCTGATTGAGGAGTGCCGGCTGAAAGGGGGCCGAAAGCACCACACACTGCGAATCTCAGCCAGTACATTGAAAAACCGGCCGAAATTTGACCAGTGTATGGGCACCTTTAGGCATTGGTGCAAAAAAAAAAAAAAAAAAGTGAGATCTCAGTAGGCATAAAGCCCAGTGCTTCATTAAGCAAATCTAAAAACTAGGTGCTGATGATCAATGAATGGGTCAAGCATCAAGGCAAACTGTTCATCATCAAGATCTCTTAGGCCTCATTCACACTGCCGTACAATACGTTGCGTATAGATGCGTGCAGCGTTTTCCCCCCATATGAAGCATATGCAAATAAATGGCCCCATACACATAGCTGCTTATGGAGCCATAAAAAAAGAAATTAACCCAAGATGCGCCCGGGCTCCATAATTGCGTGTATACGTGCGTACAGTACATTCAAATTTCTATTAAGAATGTTGCATTCTGGGATTGCATACAGTGCAGGCATATACGTGTATATACGCAATATACAGTTTTGCTCTTGCGGTGTTGTGCATGAGGCCTTACAAGCATAATCGCACAGCCGGCAGAAGTTTACAGATGTGCTGTGTAAGTTGTAATTTGAGGTTGGAAAAAGCAGTGGTCAGCAACAGGAACTAAGTGTAACAAACAGGAAATACATCAAGATTACTTCCCTTAGACATTGAGAAGCGTCTGGCCTGGTATCAGCTCCATACTGGAAGACACCACTGAACCCTTGGTATACCAATCTACAATCTGAACAAGTCTTAGATCAGAAGTGATCATGGAAGAGTAGCTACCAAAAAGATATTTTCAGGAGTGGAAACAAAAGCAAAGGACTTACCTATGCAATTAAAACACAAGGACTGGAAGGCAAAAAAAGCAGGTGCTCTGGACCAGTAAATCAAAATTCAATATTTTTGGCTCTAACAGAAGGCACTTTGCCTGCCAAAGGGCTGGTGAATGGTAAATTGACGAATGTCTACAAGGCCACGGTGAAGCATGGTGGAGGTTCCAAGCAGGTTATGGGCCGCGTTTCTGCATAAATAGTTTGTGATTGGTTCAGAATGGACCACTCAGTGCTGAGTAGAAGATCTGTATTCATCATGCAACACCAACTGAGGTGTCAGATCGGTCCCAACTACATTCTGCAGCATAACAATGATGGAAAAACGCAACCAAAACTTTAAAAAGCAGGTTAAAAAAAACAACAAGAAACACACACCTACCCACACAACACTATCTGCACTGAAAAGATTAAAAAAGGAATCCTGCAACAAACTGTATGGTCTTTTCAAAGCCCTAATTTTGATCATAATCAAGCTGGTCTGGGACTACTGGCAGAAAGAGAAAAAACTACCACATGTGTACCTTTAGAAAGTGCGTGCAAGCATACCCAAGAGAATTGCTGCTGTTTTTAAAGCAAAGGATGGTCACACCAAATATTGTTTTTGTTTATGTTTTTTTTTCACTGTTAATTGCTCTAGAAAGGTTATGGAATGATGAAAAAAATTGTACATAAAGTTAATACAAAGTTCAAGCAAGAAAAAGCATTCATGTTTATATATGGCAGTCCTAACATAAGCACTTGATTGTAAACATTTCAGAGCAAACATACTTTAAAACTGCAAATAGAAATTGGCTTAGCTAAACCAATCCTCAGACCCTCAGCTACAACCAAATACTGGTCCTAGAAACTGTGATGGAGACATCAGAATATAATTCCTGAAGTGCAACGTCCTACATAAAAGTACTGCGCTTAAAAAATATTGCATAATAGCAAGGAAAAAAAAAAAAAAAAACGCAAGAAAAAAGTATAGCCAATATAAAAGTTCCTATATACGCTGATCAGCCATAACATTATGACCACTGAGAGGTAAATTGAATAACATGGATTATCTTGTTACAATGGCTCCTGGAAGTGGGTGGGATATATTAGGCAGCAAGTGAACATTTTGTCCCTGAAGTTGACGTGTTTGAAGCAGAAAAAAATAGGGCTAGATGACTGGGTCAGGGCAACTCTAAAAATGCAGCTCCCCAGACTGCAGTGGTTAGGACCCACCAAAAGTGATCCAAGGGAGGCAAGTCAACAACATGGTCATGGGCGTCATTGACAGGGTTAGTGATGCACATGGGGAGCAAAGGCTGGCCATGTAGTCATATCCAATAGAAGACCTACTGTAGCTAAAATTGCTGAAAAATTTTATGTCGGTTCCGATAGAAAGGTGTCTGAACACACATTGCCTCGCAGTTTATTGTGTATGGGGCTCCGGAGCCGCAGACCAGTCAGGGTGCCCATGCTGACCCGTGTTCACTGCCAAAATTATAACAATGGGGACAGGAGCATCAAAACTAGACCATAGAGTAATTGAAGGAGGCCTGGTCTGATGAATCACATTTTTTTACATCATGTAGATGGCCGGGTGCATGTGCATCGCTTGCCTGGGGAAGAGATGGCACCAGAATGCACTATAGGAAGAAGTGCATTCTGGTGCCCAAAGCATCACAATGCCAAGCTGGCGGAGGCATGTTCTGATGGGAATCTTTGGGTCCTGCCATTGATGTGGATGTTACTTTGACACTTACCACCTACCTAAACATAGTTGCTGACCAAGTACACCCCTTCATAGAAACTATATTTCCTCATGGCAGTGGTCTCTTTCAGCAGTATCAGTCAGTGTACCCATTGCACTCCTTACCGCTTAATCCGTGATGTTAGGTTGGGTGCATCAGTAGTCGACGGATGGCCACCGTCCGAATAGAGTATAAGGAATTATGGACACCGGCACTCCAAGGTAGAGAAATGTCTTTTATTGACGTATCATTCAAAGATTTACACTTATTGCAACGTTTCGGGGTCACACAGGATCCCCTTCATCAGGCAGAACGTTCTGCCTGATGAAGGGGATCCTGTGTGACCCCGAAACGTTGCAATAAGTGTAAATCTTTGCATGATACGTCAATAAAAGACGTTTCTCTACCTTGGAGTGCCGGTGTCCATAATTCCTTATACTCTTTCAGCAGTATAATGCGCCCTGCCACACCACAAAAATGGTTCAAGTTGATTTGCAGAACATAATAATGAGTTCAAGGTGTTGATTTGTCCTCCAAATTCTCCACATCTCAATCCAATCAAGTGGAATGTGCTGGAAAAACAAGTTAGATCCATGGGGGCCACCTTCCAACTGACAGAACTTAAAGGATCTGTTACTGACGGCTTGGTGCCAGATACAATAGCATACCTTCGAAGTGGAGTCCACGCTTCGAAGGGCCAGGGCTGTTTTGGTGGAAAAGTCAAAATTAGAAAGGTAGTCATAATGTTAAAGCTGATTGGTGTAAGTAACCACTATTTTTCCCCACAGATGTAAGAAGCCAGTCTGTGATTCAGTATGCAAAAAAGGCAGTGATGAATCTTGATAAATAGATGCAACCTAAACTGAAAAAACACAGATTTGTGGATATTTACTTTTCATTACCTTTTGGGCTTTGTCTTTTTGAAACACAAACACTGGAGGCGCTAAGGCTGGTTTGTCTGGGGGGAAAAAAATAAAAATCTAAATTTAGCATTCACAAAACCAAAACCACATGATAAGATAATCAGAGAAGTTACGTTCGTTAACACCTTCTAGATCGTTTAGAACCCCTTAAAAGGCCAGAGGGAGCAGGTGCCAAGGGCTTGGAGTGCATTCTGTTAAGGCAGCGTGTTCATTTGAATGGTAGTGTGCTAGCTTGCAATGAACTGCAATGCAGACGTATTGGGGTGAAATTCAAAATAAGTGGCTACTCAATGGCGGGAATTTATCATAGCAATTGCGAGTGTTTGAAAAATATTTGCACCAGATTTATGAAGCTAGTGTAATATTGTTGATAAATGAGGTTTAATAGACTCCAGGAAATAAGTGGTCATGGGGACTTCTTAAAAGGAGAACTATGAGGTGAGTGCTTTTCACTCACCTCATAGTTCTAGCCAACCTGTGACAATGAGACTGTCACAGGTCGGCTCAGTAGATCGGGAAGTGAGCAAACACATACCGGCGTTTGCTCACTTCTCGATCCTGTCACAGCTCTCTGCCGTGACGGGGGAGTGGCTGGATTCCCCCTCCCCGATCCTCCAGCGCTGACTGGCGGAACGGACCGGGGACGGGGCGGGTACAGCTGGCTCTGCTTCTAGATAGGCAGAGCCAGCTGTCACTCACGCAGCTGGGCGGATCCAGACATAATTGTCGGGATCCGCTTTAGCTGCGGCGTCTCAGTATACCGCGAGCTGCAGCTCGCGGTATACTGAGCTTAGGGTGACTGGAGGACGCTAGTTTGTGTCCTCCTGTTACACTAAGGAGAACTGTGGGGAAAAGCTCTAACCCCATAGTTCTCCTTTAAGTTGTGATTGTTTCCTTAGGTGATGCTCCAGTTTCAGACAGACCAGAACAAGTGCAGATAAAAACAGGTGCAAAAAACATGCAGTTGACAAAGTAGTGCAAGCTCTGATGAAAACAGGGGCACATGTTGACAGACAGATTTGCACATTAAAAAAATATGATCTAAGAGGCTAAAACTGTTGCAATTGCTTTGATAAATTCCCCCCAATGTATGTAAAAAGCGTTACTGAAACACAGTAATTTGAATGGGCCTTGAAACTGAGGCAGTCAGCCAGGTGTAATGTAGCCGGGTATTTTCATAACATAGTGCACCTCACCCCTGGAGAGTGGCTACTTTTGTTCCCCATGGTCCCCGTGTGTGTGTTGTAAAGTAGTCACTACTACAAGCTCACTCCGGTTATGGACTACAATCTCATTAAAAATGAGTAAACTAAACGTGAGATTGTAGTCCATCACAGGAGTGAGCTTGGAGCGGTGGCTACTTTACAAAACACACACAGGGACCATGGAGAACAAAAGTAGCCACCCTCCAGAAGGAAGGACAGTGTCAGCACCAATTCAGAGATGATTTGAGGATCTTCAGCTGAGTGATACACAAAGATACATTTTTGTTAATAGTTAAAGTACTTTGATGTATTTTTAAGGCTTACTCCTGAGATTAATGTCACTTTAAGCAAAGCATCTGACAGTTACAACGGGCTGTAGAAACTTTTGAACATGTTCTGTGAGTTAGGTATGTGGTCTTGTCTCATCAGATAAATGGGTGCCAAGTTTTTAACACAAATGGATAACACTGCATTTCTCACTAATGTACTTGTACTTTTCAGGAAATAATCTGCAGCTAGCACACGTCTGACAACAGATCGCACCGAAATAATTCAAACTAGATTTGAAGAACCGTGGACCTGACGGTCCACATAATGGATGGCATGCATCAGTTTTGTATGTTTTGGTCTTCATCATTGCAGGGTATGAGGTGGGAATCAATGGCTCTACATTTAGAATGGCTGTGCTATAGATCAGCTCTGCATGCACAGTTGTATATACTTTCGGTAAATACTTTCGGTTTTAAAGGAAACCTGTCACGAGAGAAATATATGTACATTGCTATTGCTGACTCTCTTGAAAATGCTGCCTACTTGGCTGTCACGTTGAGTTCAACATTTGGAGTCGCTGACCTTGAACAAGCTAAAGAATCCTGATGGTTCACTGTTGCATTGTTCTAGAACAGGGGTCGGCAACCCCCGGAACGCGTGCCCAGCTTGGCACGGGAGGCCACATCTGCTGGCACGCAAACTCATTTTTTTGTTCGCATTTGACATCGCATTTGCATCGCTCGAGCCGGCGGTCAAATTGAAGTCCCACCCACCTCCCTCACGTGGCCAGATGACGTTCATGCGCGGAGCCGCACTGAGGAGGCCGTCGATGATCTGTTCAAGGTCCTGCCTGGTGGATTCTTTACGTGCAGCACGCAGGACGGAAGGAGGAGAATCTCTCACCCACCTGCCGGACTGAGCGGATCTTCTGTTCCCCGTCTGATTTTGTCACCATTGTGCCCATCGTCAGAACACAGTGCACAGAGCCTTCTGATCTGAGGTCTGCCAGGCATCATGTAAAAAACCTGTGTTTTATGAAAGTGCAGTGTTTAGGGCTACTCTGGAGTTTTAAGGTAATACAGAAACAGGGATCACACTAAAACTGCAAGTCCAGTTTCCTTTTTTAGTACATGTAAATATTTTGTGTGAGCAATAGTTATTACATTTTTTCACTCACAGTTGTGCTGCTAATGGCAAGGTAATCAAATTCAAATAATTAGTGAGTTTAACTTATTATTAGCAGTACAACTATGAGTACAAAAACTGAAATTTACTAATACTATGGTGCACTATTGTTCAATGGCACTCGGTTGTCTGATGGTTGCAAAAATGGCACTCGGTGTGTAAAAGGTTGCTGACCCCTGTTCTAGAACAAGGATTTGGAAGCACTGGAGACGGGCAACTAGAATTTTCAGAAGCCAAAACAATTACCCTACATATTTCTTTCTTGACAGGTATAATTTAAGAAGGTATGCAGCACTTTGCATTGTTTTTAGAGGAAGAGCTTTTCAGTTGCTTTTGGCTTAGGACACCCTTACTATCCCATGTGTGAAATGTGTACTAAAGATAACATTTCTTGTTACCCATAGATACCATTTTCCAACAGTCATCTTCACAATAACATGTCTCAGGCCCCTGTCTGTTTTGATCAGCAGGATCCATGCATAGATCCCCTGCTGATTGGAGCAGTTCTGAACAATGTCACAATGATGATATCCATGTGTGTCAATGTTTTTTTTTCGCCATCTGTGCCTCTCTATGCAATGCAGGGAGATCATGGCTGGTGGGAGGGACTGGCAGGTTGCTACATGCCTGAAAACATCACATCACCCTGCCTCAGTACTTCTATCAAGTGCTCTCAGGGTGGTGTCAGTGTAGAGGAGTGGGCAGACTGTATTTGCATGCAGAACCCATGAATAAAAACTGAAATCCTATGAAAAAAAGGGTGGGCCAAGGACAGGAGAGAGCCAGATGATGATGGATGTTTCCCAGGCAGGAAATTAGGCGGCCTCTAACTGACTTGCTACAGCTTCTAATGCACATTGTGAAAAGCTTATTGTGTGCAGTGAAATCAGAATAAGCTATTTCAGTGCAGGGGAAGTCTGTACAACTATTTAAGATTAAAAAGGGAAGACTGCAGTTCAGCTTTAAAGCAGAACTCTAGGATTTTTTTTTATTAACCCCTGCAGTGGGGCTACCCCCCACTTCAAGTGTTAAGTGCTCGTTTGTGTCTAGGGACAAAAATATCAAAGATATACTTATCAGAAACTCTGAGCCGGCCAGGCCAGCTGTCACAGCACTCCCTCCAGCTTGTCCCCTCCTCCGCAGCACATTGGAATGTACCTCAGCCTCCTCACATCTATGCAGAATGTATAGACCTGATGATTTACAGGACCTTAGACCGCTACAGAGGGGAGGGAGAGACATTCCAGGGACCCGTCTGAGAAGAGACCAGCTTGGAGCTTTGAGTGGGTATATCCTCTTTTTTTTTTTTAACCTAGGCACAAACGAGCAATTACCCGGGGGTAGCCCCACTGCAAGTTAAATAACTTTTTGGGTGGAATTCAGCTTTAGCCTTCATTCACACGGGTAATGGCCCTGTATGTATGCATGTGAGATAGAGACCCTAGATTGTAAGCTCCTTGATGGAATAGACTGATATGAATGTGCAGTATTTAAAGCCTAGTTCTCAACTGGTGGGTTGTAACCAAAAAGAGGGTCGCGTTCAGTGGGTCACCGCATCCCTTCCACTTTTCCTCAGCTTCCCCCTAGCGCAACACTGTCAGTTCTCTCGCCCAGCAGCATTTTAAAATATGCTGCCTGGTGCCGAGTGTCAACTTGACTATGCTTGGACTATGGCCGCGAGGGAGCTCCATTCATATGTGCATTGCTTACAACTCCCTCAGCGTCCTGTAGAGATGTCTGGACTGGCGTGACATCACATTCTGGCTCCTGTCACCTCTACACGGCGTTCAGGGGAGCTGTACAAGCAATGCACATATGGATGGAGCTCAATTCAGCAGATTGTGTCAGTGGTTGTTTATTATGTCAGTGTTTTTAAGGGCCTGTTCACACTAGTGCAGTGCATTAATTGCATAGTACCGTGCGATTAAAGCACTGTACCATGCAATAACACCTGCATTTCATTGCAGTGTGACTTGGGGTGTGTGACTTAATGACTAAAGACATATGTGGGTCCGAAGGTTACACAGGTTGAGAACCACTGACTTAAAGCATTGTATAAAACACGGTCAGCACTATATAAATATCTGCAATAAATACATAAAATACTAAAGCAAGGCACCTGCACCAAAGTGCACCATTACGAAAAAGGATCAGGTGTGGTTTTAACCACGCTGAGGCTAGTTGGCAAACCATTCAATATTAATGGACTGCTTAAAAAAAACCATACACTATATTACCAAAAGAATCGGGACGCCTGCCTTTACACGCACATGAACTTTAATGACATACCAGTCTTTGTGCACTGGTGCGCAGTCATGTTGGAACAGGAAGGGGCCATCCCCAAACTGTTGCCACAAAGTTGGGGGCATGAAATTGTCCAAAATGTCTTGGTATGCTGATGCCTTAAGAGTTCCATTCACTGGAACTAAGGGGCCAAGCTCAACGCCTAAAAAACAACCCCACACCATAATCCCCCCTCCACCAAACCTTACACTTGGCACAATACAGTTACAATACAATACAAGTACCGTTCTCCTGGCAACCACCAAACCCAGGCACGTCCATCGGATTGTCAGACAGAGAAGCGTGATTCGTCACTCCAGAGAACACGTCTTCACTTCTCTAGAGTCCAGTGGCGGCGTGCTTTAGACCCCATTCACACTGAGCGACATGCAAATCGCGCGACTTTGAGCGACGAGCGACATTGAGCAACGTGTCGCGCGACATCTTCCTATTGGGCTGTATGCAATCAGGAGCAATATCGCTCAAAATCGCTCTAAAAAAGGGTCATGTAGAAGCGACAAGCTACCAGCGACGAGCTACAAGCGATATTGAGCGACGAGATGTGAACAGCTACATTGAAATGTATTGGTGAAGCTACATAGAGCGATATAGTGCGGAAATATGAGCGATATCGCTGCAAAAATCGCGCGATAAATCGCTCAATGTGAACGGGGCCTTACACCACTGCATCTGACGCTTTGCATTGTACTTGGTGATGTAAGGCTGGGATGCAGCTGCTCGGCCTTGGAAACTCATTCCATGAGGCTCTCTACGCACTTTTGTTTTGCCAATCTGAAGGCCACACGAAGTTTGGAGGTCTGTAGCTATTGACTATGCAGACAGTTGGCGACTTCTGCACACTGTGCGCTTCAGCATTCGCTGACCCCGCTCTGTCATTGTATGTGCCTTACTACTTCGTGGCTGAGTTGCTGTTGTTCCCAGTTGCTTCCACTTTGTTATAATACCACTAACAGTTGACCGTGGAATATTTAGTAGCAAGGAAATTTTACGGATGGACTTATTGCACAGGTGGCAACCTATCACGGTACCACGCTTGAATCACGGTACCACGCTGAGAGTGACCCATTCTCTCACAAATGTTTGTAGAAGCAGTCTGCATTCCTAGGTGCTTTATTTTATACACCTGAATCCAATGATTTGGAGGGGTGTCCCAATACTTTTGGCAATATAGTGTATGTTAACACATTGCTAAATGTGAACCTGACCTAAAAGTAAACCAGTTAGGGCCACCAAGGTGAATCAAGTAGTGCTTGCAAGCATCTGGTCCATTTCGGTCTCATTAACATGAGAAAAAGCCGGCATGTACAGCTCCGAGTACGGCCGTATCGGGCAGCTCCCGGGAAGGACAGTTGCTGCGTGTGATTAGTACGCAGCCCCTCTCTATGGGAGTACGCAGCCGTACGCCGCCCTACGCTCACCCGCCCTGCACGTCCATGCGAGTGTCCGTACTCATACTCTGACAGGATGGATCCTGTCTGCGTCTGAACCTAGGACACCAGCACCTGTACGGACCTGCACTTGTTGTGAGCGTAGGGCCGCGTACTCCCATAGAGAAGGACAGGAGCTGCGTACTAATCACACGCAGCACCTGTCCTTCCCGGGAGCTGCCTGATACGGCCGTGCACGCAGCACAGAGCTTTATGTGTCAGCCTTTTCTTGTGTGAATGAGGCCTTCAAATACTTTGCTTTAAAGTAGAACTATACTGATCTCTGTGCCATGCACTCCCTCGCCGTCATCGCCTGCCTGAATTCTTCTGAGTTCGGCATGTTTGCCTATCTTGTGAATAGGAAAACAAGAAACCTTAGTTGCATAGGAGCCAATGGGGTGGATTTACTAAATGCAAACAGGCTGTTCACTTTGCAAGAAAATGTTCCCTTCGCTTAGTGAATGAGGTGACACTGTGCTGACTTCCAACATCCAATCATGTGCAAGCAAATATACTGTTTGTTTTTCCTTGCATGTGATTGGTGAATTCTGACCCGATTCACTAAGCAGACAATTTCAATGCAAAGTGAACAGCCTGTCTGCTATTAGCAAATTAATCTCACAATGTGTCTCTGCAATAAAAGAAAAAACCTGTTTGCATGTTCTTTTTTTTGGAAAATGGCTATAGATTCACTTTAAGCCTCCGCAGGCTCTGGACAATTTAATATGCAATTCAGGAGCCAGTCCGTCCAGTCCAGAAGCCAGCTCCATTGACAACAGCTAGAGAGAACAAAAAAGTTAGGCACCAGCTGTAATTGTTTAGTAGCATTGGGTACCTGGCTCCTGGGATTTGTCCAGCCTTGCATTAGATAACTAAACGTCAGGGCATGTCACCCAGGGCCCTGCATCCTCCCCAGGTTACAGCTATTCTTTCTTTACCGGAGTACCCCCTCCTGTAAAGAAAGTATAGCTGTAACATGGGTTTTTTTTTTACTTATTTAAAGGCAAGCTGTTGCTGTTGGCAGTGTCTCTGCCTACTGACGACAGCAAATGCTTTACCTACTGTACCTGCTATCATGGGGTGCAGAGGTTACAGATCAGGGGACAGATGGGTAAAGGCTCCACCATCAGCAGTGTGTGGAAAGCTTTAGAGGAGAAGCCAGAGTGGGTTGAGAGCAGAGCAGTGGGGTGGGGACAGGGGAAAAAAACATCCCTGCCATTCCTTTACCAAAGACCTCCTTGTTCAGGTAAGTGCTGCCTGCACAGAACTTCTAGGGGGCAGTGAAGTAACTGTTCGCCAGCCTGCTGGGGTGAATGGTCACAGTAACAGGAATTACCATTCTGATGCCAATTTCCAGCCCCTTTTCTAGCTCTGATTACAAGCTTCCACAATGCATACAGCAGGAACGTCCTCTATATAAGCCATTTGAGGATGGCCAAGTTAAACCCCTTTCCTTTCCAAGCCATTTTTCTGTTCTGTGATACCTAACCGCAGCCATTGTTTAGACTGTGTGATGCTGTCACTGGTCACAGCGATCACTTACTACAGAGCCACTTTAATGGGCTCTGTACACGCTTATTTTGATCTGCACAGTTCAATTGTAGAGCCATCACCATGTAGAGCTCCTGTGTGTGCAAGAGGGCTTAAAAGACTGGGCATGTCCTGGAGAGTGCACTGTCCTATTTATGTAGAATGAGCATACGGCAAGAGGTTGAAGTGGTATCCCTACATACCAAAAATCCTTATTAAATCCCCCGGAGAGAATGGGGTGGGGTAGGGTAGATCACACAGCCCTGACAGCAGTAGCTGTTCTTTCACAATAGTAAAAGAATGTGACCCATCTGCTGGCGTGTTGTAAATATACACAGCACTGGCAGGCAGATCATATAGCTACCACGACTGCTGACTGATCCTTTAGGCTGGGTTCACACTTAGGTGTATCGAATATGCGCGTTTGTCGTGTGTTTTTACCGCGATTCGCGGTGCGACAAACGCGTTTCCGAGGGCCTGGCTGTATTTCAATGGATACGCACGGCAAATACGCCCCAAAGAAGCTCCTGTACTTATTTGGGCGTAGGGTGTTTTGCAGCGCATTCCTACGCGCTGTAAAATGCCCATAGGCAATCATTGGTTTTCACATGTTGAGCGTTTTACAGAGCGTAGGAGCGCGCTGTAAAACGCCCAGGTGTGAACCAGGCCTAACTTGTGCTTGTAATGTGAATTAAAATGCTTGTCTCCAGCACACACATGATACCAGAGACTAGCACAGTCAGTCAGCCCTCAGTTGTTCACCTCCTTGTGAGCAGTGTGGTCAAACGGTCAACTACACGAGCTCAGCAACTGGGCCACTGATCAGAATGTCTAGGCGGAATGTTTAAAAGTAGTTACTTACCTGATCCCATTTCCCCAGAGGTCAGCACTCACCTCTCTCCCCCTATGGCTTGTGGACTATCCCCTGGCTTTTTCACATGTAATGCAGGGCCATTGGCCCTGCATTAGATGTGCCACGGTGGGGGGCAGGGATGCCACAGGCTCTAGTCTTGGAGCCTGGGGGGGAAGAGAGGATCAGGCAAGTGAGACTGCTTAAAAGAATCCCCCTAGACAAAAACAAGTAGTTAAGACTTTGCAGGGTAGGGGAAGTCCCGCAGCATGGTTTATTTTTATTCCAGAGATAGACTCTAGGGCAGGGGTCAGCAACCCCAGGCTTCCAGCTGTGCTTTAACTACAAATCCTACCATGCCTCTGCAGGTCATACTTGTAACACCTTATGGGACTTACAGTTCCACAACAGCTGGAGGGCCAGAGTTGCTCACCCCTACCCTAAGGGAAGTTATAAATGCTGCTACATGGACACACATTTGTATGCCCAGGGTTCAGTTTTAACTTTATATACCTTGGTTGACTTTACCCAATACTGTACTCAACATCAGCTTTACAGTTATACAGGATAGGCCTAACGCCACTAAAGATATGTACTGCTTATATAGTTAGGACCTTTAGTCATGAAGAATTACTATATGTGTGCGACGGGGAGACATTATTATAAAAAGGTCACCTGACTTTTAATTCTTGATTATTAACATGGGAATACAGACGACCCCCTAAAATGTAAACAAAGTACCTCTTCCAACACAACAGATTTCTCCTCACAGCACTAGACTGTGATCTCCTAGCCATTCATGGCATTGAATGAGAGATTCCCCCCTGGTACAAGGCAAGTTCCACCGGCAGGTGTCTATACAATGAGGCTAGAAGGAGCCCACTCAGATCACCAGGCTGACATTACCCCTCCACAAGCCCATATCAGACTGCTAGAGACTAAGTGAGCGGACAACGTGCTCACACAGGGGGGACGACACGGGGCCCGGCTGAGCAGAGGCCTGCAGTAAGCCAGGGGATAGTCTGAGCCGCGCCCCCAGCCTCTGCCTGCCGGGCCGGGAAGAAGAGCGCCCCTCCAGCCAAACTGCTCACACACTATCCTGGATGACCTCCAACCTATACCAGGCGCGTTTAACACCACCTGACGCTGAACTAACACAACCCCAGCTTTCTGCTACTTACCTTCGTTCGCTAGGTCCTCCATTTTACCGCCTCAGCCGCACCCACAATTCCTAGCGGCAGCTTTCACAGGCAAGGGGCGGGCTGTGCTGGGCGGGAACTAGGAGCAAGTCCACTCAGTTCGCCACACCCGGCATGTTGTTACTGCGCATGACTGAACTGTCATTTACGTACTGTCGTGAAAGCGGACTAGCTTCGGTTGAGTTATCTGGTCTGGGTTGGTTTAGTCTAATCGTGATTTAAATTCCACTACGTGTTAAACATTGTGTATCATAAGCGGTTGCTATATATAAAAAAAAAAAACGTTTCACCATTGTTGCATCTCGGTGTTGCTGATCTCTTTTTCCTTCTCTGAATCAGTTACCTGATGGTGACTAGTGATGGGCAGGGGCTTGGTGTGTACTCGGTTTATGTGAGTCCGCCCAAGCACATTCCTAACTGTGACTCCTAACCCTTGCAGTGGGGCTACCCCTGCACTGCAAGGGTTAACTGCTCGTTCTTGTCTAGGTGCTATTCATATTCACCTGAACCTCGGAGCCGGCTGGCTGCTACTCCTGTCTCCTCTGCTGCAGTGATGGTCCCCTCCAATACACAGTGAGGGGGATTTATCAAAACGGGAGCAGCTGTGCATGGCAACCAATCAGCTTATCTCTTTTATTTTCAAATCTTAACTGAGTAAACTGAAGAGAGAAGCTGATAGGTTGCTATGGGCAACTGCTCTAGACTCTGTCTGCTCCAGTTTTGATACATTTCCCTCAGTGTATAGAACATGATGACTTGTGGATCCTTAGATCAGTGCAGAGGAGGAGCAAGGTGCCAAGGACCGGTCTAAGAACAAGCCGGCTTCGGGGGTTCGGGTGAATATAACTTTGTTATTTTTGCACCTATATAAAAACGAACACTTAACCCTTGTAGTGGGGGCTACCTCCGCATTGCAAGGGTTAGGTGTTGATTTTTATATAGGTGCAAAAATAACAAAGTTATATTCACCCGAAGCCGACTTGTTCTGACAAACAGCTTTGGCCAGAGCTCTGCTTTAAAGGAGAACTATGGGATTAAGGCTTTTCCCCTTAGTTCTCCTTAGGGTAACGGGAGGACACAAACTAGCGTCCTCCCGTTACCCTAAACTCAGTATTCTGTTCAATTCCCAATCTACTGAGCCGACCTGTGGCAGTCTCATTGTCACAGGTCGGCTAGAACTATGAGGTGAGTGAAAAACACTCACCTCATAGTTCTCCTTTAAAGTCAAATTGCAGGAAAAACAATTCACACATCGCACTGGGTGTGTAAATTATCATCAAAAAGGTGGCACAGCACAGTGGTGTAGTGGTTAGCACTTTGACACCAAAATAGGGAGGGTAATAGACACGGACTTAGACATTATAACATTACAGGAGGACCCGGATAAAATAGGGGAGTGGGCATTCATGTGGTAATGAGATCTTAATAGGTTGGACTTGATGGACTAATGTCTTTATTCAACCTCAAATACTATGTAACTATGTAACTTCTGCCTTGCAGCACTGGGGGTCCCTAGTTTGTATCCCAGCCTGGTCACTATAAGGAGTTTGCATGTTCTCCCTGTGCTTGCGTGGGTTTCATCCCACACTCCAAAGACATGCTGGAAGGATGGCTCCTGTCTAGATTGTGCCTTTATGTATGCATGTGAGATGGGGAACTTAGATTGTAAGCTCCTTGAGGGCATGACTGATGGGAATGTGCACTGTGTCCAAATTGTTGGCGCTATATAAATACCAATAAATATGTATGGAGGGCTGCTGAAAAGTATAAAAATCTTACCTTCCATCATACCATCTCCTACACATAATGCCATTCTTCTGGGCACTAAGAAGAGTGAGGGACGCGACTTGAGTAGTGAAGTGCTCCGGTCACATCACCCGTCCCTTCTCAGTACTTGTCCATACTTTGTATTTTCCTCAAAGAATACAAAGCATTCTGTGATTAGAGGAGAGATGATGTCACATCCCCACCTCATCCTCCTCCAATCACAGAATGCTCTGCATTCTTTAGGAAACAATACAATACATTTGTGACTTTATATTTTACCAAAATATTGGGTATTATATTGTGTGTGTGTGTGTGTGTGTGTGTGTGTGTGTGTGTGCACTAAAATTCATTCATCCTGAAACATATATTTGATAAACAGTTGCACAATGATCGTGCAATGCAAAAAATTGTGACTGCCGCCATTATATTCTACGGAGTCTCTGCTTTCAGAAAATATATGATTGGGGTTTTTAAGTAATTTTTCTAGTAAATAAATACAGATTTGAACATGTGTGTGATGAATTAAAATGCCCAGGGTGCAAAGTGATTCATACTTTGACCCCATCTGTGTAGCTTGGTTTTCACCCTCCCGTGTGGACTACAGACAACTGTGCTTTCATCCAGTTGGCGGTAGTCAGCACCCCCTGCTGGTTGATAAATAGCTGCTTGCAGTATATAGCAGTTGCGAGTGGGACATCCTGTAAATGTAAGTCCCCAGAGTTCCCCCTTACTTCAGAGTTTCCAGAGTCCCCCCTTATATCAGTGTCCCTAGAGACTCTGATGTAAGGGGGTACTCTGGGGACTCTGATGTAAGGGG